GTCATATTGCTAATTGTAAAGAAAATTTAAAAAAAAACATTCAGACACCTAACATTTTTAGTCTGAATGAGGAGGATTCAGAGGTAAAAATATCAACTTCCCCTGAAGCGGTAGAACTCAGTGTAGATCCTTAGAGTTCCCATCTTAAGATAAATCATTAGTTTATCTTAGTTTAATTTACTTTAATTTTCATTTGTTAGTCTCCCACAACAAATAGAGTACCATCCTTTAGCTATGTCATAAACTTGATCATTAGGTTCCCCATGAAAAATAGAACTCCCATCCTATAGCACGTTGATAAGTTTATGCCATTTATATTATCCGTTTTGTAGATTAGTGACGACAATTCATCATTGATTTTTAATAATGTTTTTACTGAGTTACTCCCATAGAGAAACTACTTAGCTGTAGCCTAATTAAGATCAGTACCCCTGTAGGTCCCCTGATAATTTAGTATAACTAGAGAGCACACCACAAGAAAAGAGAGCAAACCTACCTCAACCCTGGTGGCCACTTCATCCTGACCAGAGATGGACCTTCTCGACTCCACTCGTCAGAGAGCTACTTCATCGTGACCAGAGACGGACCCTCTTGACTCCACTCTTCAGAGATCCACCTCACCACCTGATGAGAGAACCAACCTACCTCACCATCCTATGAAAGACCCAACCTACCTCACCTTCTGGATTATCCGGGCCTGTCCTGTTCCTGTTTGGATATACACTTACTGGATTACCTTTTTCCTTTCTTTTCCTGAACAAATGCAATGGAAATACATCAAGATTTACAACTATGACTGTGCAACTTCCCATTCACGTCGTTCTGATGTGTGCACTTCACAACCGTGGACAAGGCTGTGAATTGCAAAGGGGGGAATTTGGAGTGGAAACGTGAATATCTTCTTAAGAGACAGTCCTGTTGGGTTTATGTTGAGTTATTAGAATCAATGTAAAACTACAAACGAAACAACTCCAAAAAGTAATAACTCATACAAGGGAAAATTAAAAATAAATTATTTGAAATTCTTTATTTTGTCACTTAAGGTTCTTTGATACTTTATTGAATGTTGATTGTACTCTTGTTCTGTTAATCTGAAATCTAAACCTGGTGTACATGTTAACGCCATGAACCGATAAGATATATACAATATTGAGTTGCTGTTTTTTTTCTCAGCTTGTTGAAATTAAGATAAACAGAAAAGTTGATGTTAAACTGACAAAAATAAAATAAAATAAAAAGTACGTGTCCTAACAGGGGCAGAGCTTCATTCACACAAAGAGAAAAGTGTTGGAATGTGATGTGTACAAAGACAAATGGTGACCTCCTCTGGTTTAAGAATAACCTGGTTTTCTGTCAAAAGAACGATCTGATTGTAAATGAAAACACAAAGCTCGTCTGCTAACACCCCTACACATGCCTGTTTTTAAATCAGTTCTTAAAACTTATTTCTATTCACTGACTATTAACCTAGCGTGATACCTTGGTCTGTTTTAGCTGTTTTTGCTTGTTTTTATTGTTGATTTGATTTATTGTTTTGGTCCCTATGTAAAGGCCCTGTCACACATTTTAGACAACTTATGCCAAATTATGAACTWTTTTATGACATCTAGGTTCAACATGGAATTTATAAAAATCAACTGGAAGGCTCTTTTAGGTGTGCACACACTGTAATGATAAACTGATCAAATATATAACTTTTATTAGTAATTTAGACGTTAAAAACATTTCATAAACTGTCTAACATTACAGTGTGACCGGGCCTTACAGCACTTTGTTTCAACGGCTGCTGTTTTAAAGCTGATTCAGTTTGATTTTTTTCCCTTGTTGATTCTGTCGTGCTAAAAATAGGTAAACAGCTCTATCATCTGGCATGTCAGGAGACTGAAGAAAACCCAAGAAAATACAATGTGTAACCAAGAGTGTGTATTTTGGGCTCTAGTTCAGGGGTTCTTAACCTTTTTGACCTCGGGGCCCAATTTATTGAACGTAAAGTGACACGAGATCCAGTCAGACATTACCGATG